TTAGCTGTCAGATCCTTCAATGTCTCCAACCAACCAGTTGTGGAGTCTTTCGGACTCAATCCCGGAAGACGCGAGACACCTACTCTACCTAATGGCTCTGCATTTCTTCATGCCTCGTCTCCATGTCATCTGTTGATCTCCGTGTGGTTTCCTCCAGCCCGGATTATTTACAGCGAATAAAGCGCGGTGCGGCAGACGATGGCTGGGCATACGCAATACGTGCCCTAGCCAGCGAAGTCTACTAATCTGAATTCGGTGTGCTGGCAGGTTTATCCCTGATAGACTCCCAAACACACGATGGCTTACCTCCACGTTACTAACCCGTTGGCTCCACCCAACATGGGCTAAACTGCGTAAACACCGATAATCGAAAACTTCTAGTCAGCGGATATCTACTCGCAAATTCAAGGTCTCACAACCATAAAACAGAACTGAACGAACGCTAGCACAATATACACGACCTTTCAACTTCAGTGAAACGCCGCGTCTATGCCAAAGGTGTTTCGGTCCTGCGTATGCTGCTCGAGCCTTGGAAATGCGAGCGGTTGTCTCTTTTGCTGCGTTACCATCATTGGTCATGCAATTACCTACGTAGGAAAAATAATCCACCATAGCTAAATCCTGACCATTTAGTTTCAGAGCGAGAGTAGAAGAAACCCAGTCCTGCAGCATCACTTTGCATATTGAAGGTGCAAAGCACATACCGATTGTGGCAGCAGCACTTGCTAGTCCATCAAGTGCGTTTTACGCGTCCTCCATACCTTCGAACAGACAGACGATGTCATCGGCGTACTCCAAATCGCACAGCTTCTCTCCAGCTGTCCATTCAATACCTACGTTTTGGAGTCCCCTTAGTGCGCTCTGCAGTATTTCGTCTACGACGAAATTGAATAGGAACAGCGAAAGAGGGCACCCTTGACGAACGCCGCTGCTGGTGACAAACTTACTTACTTAGTTCGTTGTGGACCTTTGCACGACCGGAGGTATGTAAGTACTGTGACCTCAGTAGGTTAACATACTTCTGGAGCATTCCTTTTCGAAGAAGAGAGCCCATCAGAGCTTCGCGGTCAACTGAGTCGAAGGCTCCTATCGGGTCAAGGAACACTGCGATCGTTGGCCGACGGTGGGTATGATGCAGCTCAAGGATCTGACGCAACGTAAAAATTTGATCAATACATTCACGGCGTTGCCGGTNGTTTTCGCAATCGTTGCGGGATCCTATCTTGAAGATGGGAACGATCAGTGATTCACCCCAAGATGAGGGAATGTGTTCTTGCATCCAAATGTAGCGCAGTAGGGTAAGGGAAGTCAGCCAACCTACTCTAGCATTCATATCCTGCTAAAATCGTGATATCAGCTCGATTCGCTTTATGCAAGAGGTCGTGTTGCTTTAGGTAGAAAGTATCTTTGACTGTATCTGGGCTACGATTATTGGGTGCGTACGCTGAGACGACAAACAAGTGTCTTGTTTCTAAGCGACGACCGCTTACTTTGCACGAACCTCAAAATCTCACTGCCTACTGTCCCCTGGGATCCACTCTGGGAGCGCAGCTTCAGCTCTCTCACTGAGAGACGCACC